GACAGATACCAAATTTGAACTATTCTAAGCAGAAAGGTAAATTTATTGAAAAGCAGATGAATTAAGAAGTATCTGTGGAGGGAAATAGACTTGGAAGACCCTCCAGAGCTGGGACCAGGGCTATAATCCTTTCTCACTGTCACTCACAACATCTCAATTCGGTGATTTTTTTTCTTTTTTTTTTTTCGGTACTGGGGATGGAACCCAGGATGTTACACTTGCTAGGCAAGCACTTTGCCACTGAGCTACATCCCAACCCCTCAATTTGGTGATTTTATTGCTTAACCCACAGTGAGAATTTCTCCATATGATAGACAATGTGCCTGATCATGGCTCCTGTAACTTATATTTTGCAACTTTACCCCCCCACACACAGAGATTACCCCAAATGTTCCAGTTTTCGTGTACAATATTCTCAAAGAAGAGATTGAGATAACACCAGCTTTGGGGACAAGAGATCTCTGTTAGACCAGGAAGGATGGTGGTTTCATAATAAAAATAGTATATGTAATATTGGTAACTCCAAGAAACCTGCACATAGCTACACTATATCATAATCATCTTTTCTGGTAAGAAATAAATCTCTGAAAGCTGGGGAAATGAACAAACAATAGAGTCAGTGGAGTCCACGTCTTATTCAGTCCACAGAAGCTGTCCATTAGTGGAGATAAGCCAACAATATATTCCTTTCTGCAAATTTGTTGAGAATATTCAAAACAAACACATTAAAAAGGGATTAGTCACCATTTATGTGTCAGGGAAGTAATAATAGTGTCCTTATTGCACATATTAATGTTCTTCAGTATTTCTGAAGTACTGGAGAGATTCATAATATTTTCCAGCTTCAGAGAATTAATTAGCTCCCCTGTGGAGTAGCTCACGAGCAATATTGCCATTTTGGAGATGGAACAATTGAGTTGGAAAGGCAAGAAGTATTGAATTATTCATCTTTTTAATAAATATGTATTAAGCACATAGTTGATGAATGGCTCTGGGCTGAGAGTTTTAGAGACATAGACTACTTCATGAAAAGCTATAAGAGGTTAAAAGCTATAGGGTTAATAGCAGGGGGAGAGACATAAATTGTAGAGACTGTTCAAAACAATGGAAAGGAATCCAGTCTTCACTGTATGAAATTATTGTTAATTTTTAAAGAACGTATGGTTATATATTTAATTGACTGATTTTTCCAAATCTTGATGAAATTACCATCACCCTAAATGCAGGGGGTAAATGATCCACTTAAATGAGGAAATCAGTTCTTCGAATTCCTTTGCTAGTAACTTTTGGGTTAACATGTATAATTTTTTTTTTGAAAATCAGATAAGCATGCATCACTAAAGGGCCAGCCCACTGAGGTTTTCATTAGTCAAGGAAAGTCTAGTTGCTGTTGGGATTCTCTTGGTGAACTCAACCACCATGCAGTAAAGAAAGATGACACAAATCTGTGGAAAGACAAACATAAAGACCCTCTTTCCCTTTAGAGAGCAAATAGCTTCTGGGTTCTCAGTTCATCTTGAACTGCCAGCCAGCTGCCAGCACAACAGGCCAGGCTTTGAGTGCCAGGTAGAACATGGATACCCCAGCTGTAAGCCAGGGGCTTTGAGATTGGGGTAAAGTCCAGCCTTCCTCAGTGAGCCTTGTCCAAATTCTGATTCAGGCTGCATAAGTGACTGTTGTTATTTTTAGCCAACAAGCTCTAGAGTGGTTTGTTATTAGCTGAAACACCTTCTGCAGAGGGTTTACGGTAATAACATGTTCAAGCCTTGATCCCTTTCGTTCATTAGACAACAGAATTTGGGGCACCCAAACTATCCAGCATTCGGAAATTCAATTTCTGAGTTCAGAGCAATTCATTTTTAGTTCTGTAGAGAGTTTCAAATGGAGAATACAATTCAAAATCAAAGGAATCACCTTCATATGCAAAACTTTCTGAAACATAATTGATTTTAAAATAGCTCACTTCCATTTCAAAGGAAAGTTTTAAAAACCAATAAAGACTATTTCAATGTTTTTATGGTAATTTTAATACCTATAACTTTTGTGAAAGGTCTACTTCTGACCCAGAGGGGTTGCAGGACTAGAAATGTGAAGGTCATGGAGTCTTGTGACCCTTCAATGCCTTCAATGCCTCTAGTTCACTAATCAAAAGTTACAAATATAGCTTCTGATTCTTCCTCTCTCCCCTTTCTTTCTTTTAATTGGCTGTCAAGCAAAGCCAGGGTAACAGCCAATCAGCTCTTCCCATTAAGCCCCATATTTTGCTGAGCTGGACTTGACTCCTGGTTGCTACAAAACAGATCTAAGTTTATATCGGAGGTGACAAAGTTGATGCCCTGTCATTTATCCTTTTTATAGCATGGGTGACATCAACAGTCAGCAAGCCATGTTGGTGACTTGTTGATGAATCAATTAAAGCAGAAAGCCACCAAGTATGTCCAGAGGTTTCCCGTAGGCACACATTTTTAAGTTTTAATTAAGATGACTAAATTAGAAATTGTATATTTTTGCTACATAATTTCTATTTTATGATTACTCTAAAATTTTTTGAAAGGCACTCATGATACCAGTGTTAGTACGATGTCACTATTGATAGTGGAGTGTACACTATTATGGACATAAGTCACTATATATTTTTAGTCAGAAAACATACCTTGATCTCATTTAATCATTGCCAAAGAAAACTATATTGGAATTCTACTGAGCATTATGGATGACTATTACCGAGTATTATTAAGTGTATTGAGTGGTTCACAAATATATGTCATTTAGGAGCTAAATAGAATCAACCTAATGATATATCTGAGAAACTAGAGATTCAGAACCCAAACCATGTAGCCAGAAAATAAAAAATGCTTGGATGAAACCAGGTATGTTAAGTCCTGATTTCATCTTCATATGTCATCTTATGCATCTGGCATTTTTCAATGAAAAGTATAACTTTCACACATGACCATAGTCTACTACAATGGTTTAATATCTGTACCAATATTCCATTGTGTATGTGAAATAGTTCACATTTTCTTTTTATTAGATGTTTGAGTTTAGTTTTGTTCCCTTCCTACCGTGCACCAGTTTAAACAATACTTCAATAAGTATCCTTGAAGATAAATTTTATTGCACATCCTTAATTATTTCCCAAAGAGGAAATTTCAGAAGTAGAATCAGTAGCATGCAAAAAGTTTAATGGCTACAATGATAAATACCAAATTTCACTCTGGCCAATTATGTCAAATTACCTTATATGTAATAATTACTCATCTGTATTTGTGTCTGACCCAAAAGCCTCAATTTTTACATGCCAAAATTTAAAAAAAAAACTTGAACTTTCAAATGACATCATAAAGTTTTAGAAATAAATTATGTATCAGAACTCACTGAATCTAATATCTTATATAATGGGCTCTCTGATCTGGAGTCTCCATCCTGTAACTAACAGAAGGTGAAATAGAGAACAAAAAATGATTTAAGATATCCCTAACTACTAGACCTATTTCTTTACCTTTCAACAATGCAACACTGCTAACCTGTTCTAAGATGTGTGCAGAATAAGGAAACCTCGTTGGAAAGGAGAAAATGTTGGCAGGTTTTCAATACACTTGACACAGGCTACAAAATGATAAAGATTATTTGGTCATTCTTCCCATGAAATGGGTTTGTTCAGGCTGCCAGCAGCAGAATGTATAATTCTTCCTCTCTGCAGTTCCTCAACAACATGGTTTTCTTTTGCCTTTGAGATTTTAGAAATTTAACTTGTGGTAATCAATGAGAGAAGGAAGATTACCTAGGAACAAAAATGAATGAAAGACCTTCCTATTTCCAGCCTAGGGGCTGGCTGTGGATATAGCCCTGAGTCCCCACCTTCAGAAATTCTTAAAGGTGTCATCACCTGAGTCACTTCAGTTCTAAAGACAGTTCTAAGATCTAGCTAGTCTTGAGAGAGAAAATGACCTTCAACTGGATAAACATTCCTTCAGTACTCATTAGGTATAAACCACTGTTGGATGTTGAATTGAGAACAAATAAAAATGGGGTATTCATAAATGAATGAAGTGATAGAGAAAAGCCAAGAATCAGAGAGAAAAATTAATTCTGCTTGGGGATCGGGAGGGAGTGGAATAGAGTTAGGAAAAGAAGGTGATATTTATTGAGGCCTGACGACACAGATTCCTCTGTCCTAAATTGACACCGAAAAGTAAATAATTAAAATCGTAAGAACATCGCGAAAACCAGTCATTTCCTTTATTTTCACACACACACACACACACACACACACACACACACACACACACACACACTTTCTTAAGAAACACTCCCATTCTGCCTGGAAGAAGAAGTGAAAAATTGAACCCTCGCATCTTTTCCTCTGGGAAACTGGGGGATCAGGATTAGGAACCACAACTCTTAAAATTTGGACCTCCCTGACTCATCCTGAGAGCTCACTGGCTTGGGGGAGGAAATCCTATCTTATTCAACCCCTCCTCTCCACCTACAGCCTCACACAGTGCTTGGCACCCATTAGGTAATCATGTGTGCCATGGATTTTAAGCATCTACTTTCCCCCCACTGAAGACAATGGAGAGTAATAGAGCTCTGGTCTCAGTAGTTATAAAAACAGGGGAAAGAATGGGGCCATTAACAACCTGCAGGAACTGTGGAACTGCGAAGGGGGAACCTGGAGGCGGCGGGGAGGGGGGAGAGAAGGTGAAAGCAAACACCTCTCAAAGCAAACACTCCTTGCACTTTGCCTCCATTCCAGACCCACCCATCCCCCCTCCGCCACCCCACCCCCTCCCCCCATCCACGCGAAGGCAAGGGAAAGGCGCAGACTAAGCAATAGGGAAGCTCGGTCGGTCACGCTCTTTCCAGGCTGCTTTTCCAGTCCACAGCAGCCTCGCCCCTCCTCCCTCGTCTCTACGCCAAGCTTTGGAGGCGACTCCTCTCTAGTGACTGAATCCACCGCATTTTAGGACCAGTCGCCTTTTGCCTCTCTGGTGTCTTTGTCTGCTCTTCCTGCGAGGCTCCGGCGCCCGGGTCTGCTGCAACCACCGCAGCAGCTCGAACCAAGTCGGGCCCCACACGGCCGCTCGGGGGCCGCACCCTCGCTCCGTGGCGGCGCCCGGAGACGCCAGTCGCGCCACGCACTGCCTGCGTCCCGCGCGCCCCAGCCACCGCGTCTCCACGCCGCCGCCACAAGCCAACCGTGGCCGAGGATCTGAGCCCCACCAGCCGGCTGGGGAAAGAGAAGGGGAGGAAGGGGTGGGCAGCCCAGCTGGCAGCCGGCTGGAGGTGGCGGCCGACGCAGCCCTGACTGCGCGCACACCCCTAGGCAGACGCACCCCACACCTCCTCCCTGCGCCAGGGGGATGGAGCAGCCATCTCAAGCCGGGACTGGCGCAAGGTAAGGTGCAGCCGCCTGTTGCTTTTCGCAGAGCGCGGGATCATCTCTTCCCGGTGGTGCTGCGGCTGTCTGGCCCTCTGGGAACAAGTGGAGAACTATCGCCCTCAGTTGTGAGCCGTGGCTGTGCAAACCTCTGGTCCCTTTGGTACAGACCCTTGGAGAGGCATCAGCCGGCGAGGGGGCGTTGTTAGCTTTCTCCACTTTGGTGCAGCTGGCTGCCGTGCAGTAGTCTGCAAACTTTTGTGACCCCCCCTCCTTTCCCCGCGCGATGCTCACCCCCGTGTGCGGTGCACTTGCACGTTTAGTTCTCGCGTGCGCCCTTCCCCCAACTCCCCTTGTGAGACGCGTGTGCCCGTTTGGATCTGTGTGTTCTTCTCCGAGACTGGGCACTCGCCGCAGCTCGCCGGCGCTCCCGAGGCGTGGGCTCTCGGGACCCGGCAGTGCCCTCAGCCTGCCCCGTAAGAGCTGGGTAGGAACCGTGATGGTGACATCGGAGTGGGGGGGGGGACGTGGAGAGGGGCAAGGCTGCGGGCCACTCCTGGAGCTGTATCCCGAGTGGTGGTTGGGGGTGGATTAGTACCCTGGAGCATGCCACCCACCCAACTCCAGAATGAAACCCTTGGAGTGGCTTTGGGTTGTGCGCCTCGGGAACCGCATGTGCAGCTATGGGGCGCGCGGGGTGGGTGCGTGAAGTAAGTGAGCGAGCGGGGAAGGAAAAGATTGCTGGTGGGGATGTGGGAGGAAGCTGGGGAGAGGGGGGAGATCTGAGGGGAAGGGAAAGGCTCTCTTAATGAAGGCGAGGGGAATGGCCAAAGCAGGAGGAAAAGAGATTTTTTTAAGTCCTGAGGGCTCTGGCCTGGGTGTGTAAATGCAGATGGGGGAGGGGCTGGGTAACCTGGGCAAGCACTGGGGTGGAATGCAGCCCTGGAATTTCGGGGTTCTGGGGGGCGGATTTGGGAAGGTGGGCTGCTGGGGTGCCTGGTGCAGCGATCTCGCTCTTGGAGAGTGGAAGCAAACCTCCTCAGCTATCATCTGAATGCGCTGGCATCTTGGGCGGTGACTGAATGGTCAGATCAGGGATAAGGATGCTTTTCTGGGTCTTAGAAAAGCATAGTTCCCCTCTCTTCTCTGGCAGCCTCTGGCTTTTACACCCATTCATCTCTGCAGCGCGGTGGGTTAGATCCATGCCCACCTTCCTTGCCAGTACTTGGGCATCAAACAAGACTCCACAAGCCTCAGGGTGGGAATGGAATTCCTGGCCATTAGGAGAATACGTGGGTGCAGGGTGGGGGCTGGAGGTCGGAAGGGGAGTCCCCAAAGCCCAGCAAATAGGCAGGGGTCCCAGCGGTGGGAGGAGCCTGCCAAGGCGGAGGCTGCCGTGGAAGCCACCTTCTCCTCCTCCCTCCCCCCTTGCTTTCCCCCCCGCTGCCCCACAAATCGCACCTGGGCGGAGCAATGGAGTGGGGGAGCCAAGCCGAGTGCTTCCACTGGTAGGATCGTCAGAGAAGGCGAGCTGGAGCTGGAGCTGGAGGGCAGGGCGTGCGAGGAAAACGCAGAGCAAGGGGGTGTGGGCAGCTGAGGAAGCGAGACCCACCTTCCCGATCCGGGGCCCTGGGCAAAGGTGCGTCCACCCACCACGCAGCCCTCAGGTAGACCCCTTTGCTTATTCCTTTCTGGATGCTTTGGTGAATGCAAGAAGGCGAAGCTCCTCCTTTGCACCCTAGCAATTCAGAGTGCAAGACAGTTTGCGGGAGAGCGGGGGGGGGGGGGCTAGTCTGCTGTTGCAAAGAAGAGACAGCCGCCTCTCTTGCTTAGCACTCAATCCCCCACCCACCGACCTCCCTTTTCCAGATGAGGAACACACATGGTTGGATAGCCAGGCGGGGAGCACCTCACTTAACCTTGCTCTCCCACACGAGGCGCATGCCCCTCCCCTCTCCAAGTGACACTTCTGGCTGAGTCTTTTTGGTGGTTCCTACCGCCCCCATAGGCGGTTGTATTGGGGGTTGTACTGGAGGTTGTACTGATCTGGAGCCCCCATACAGCTCTCAGGTTCTCTCTAGCCGGGCCTGACATGGGCACAACCTTCTGTATTTCACCCTGTGGATCCTTCCTGCTCTCCCGTGCTAGCTGGGAGCAAGCAGAACTCGGACAGTGGCTTATTTAGACCCTCTGGTCAGATCCGTCCAGAGGACACGTGGCTTGTCCAGGGCACCTGGGAGGAGCCTGCATGAGGGTCACTGCCATTCTGGGGCACCCTTGAAGCAGCTAGCTTTCTGCCTCACTCACCAGGGCCCCAAGGAGCAGGAGGAGCAGGAATCCACTCAACTCAGGGTCCTGGAGCAACAACTGAGAGTTGAGGCCACACCTCAGAGGCTGGGCCTGGCTGGTGACAGAACAGAACACAGCTTCCGAATTGCCTGGAAACCTGAGGTAGGATCCCCCCACTATAAACTCTTCACACCATAATACTTAGTTTCTGACACCCGAAGGCTGCTTTCTTTCTGAATGTTTGTCACCTGGATTTGTGCTCCAGGCTCTTCCCTTGTCTCAGAAACTGGTTAGAAAAGATCACTGGGCAACCTGAGAGAAGACTCCAGAAATATGGCAGGTGGATTTCTTTTCCGCCCACGTTGTTCCTCTCTTCTGGGGAGATTCGTAATGATAATAGTGAATACTACTTAATGTTTCTTAAATTCTTATTGTGTGGTAAGCACTTTCCTCCGTAGTTTATGTACTTTCGTTAATCATGAAGGATGATAAAGTTTTTTTTTGTTTTTTGTTTTTTACAATTTTGTAGATGAGAAGCCCAAACTACAGAGAAAGTGTTTGCTTCTTTTTCAACTAGCCAGTCCCCAAAGAGGCTGGCTCCTCTGGTGGGTAGAGCACACTCTCAGGTCTATTTCATTGTCTCCAAGGACACATGAAGACCATTTAGCCTTCATTTTAAACCTTAGGGGCAAATGGTGGGTGCCAGCCATTCTTGGGATGTGTGTCACCTGCCTCAGTGCACCCCAACAGTGTACCTTGGTAAGATGGGAGCAACTACAACAACCCATGGAAGGAACTGGTTACAGCGCTGGTCTTGGAAAGCTGTTAGTAAATGTCCTCCTTTGAAGTACAAGACAAAGTGAGAGGTCCAAATGGGAATAAAGCTTTACTTTCTGGTTTAAAAAAAATTAGAGGTATTCTCGGTGCTCATTTTGTGATTTCCCTTCTGCAAATTAAATCACAGAATGTTAAAGTTAAGAGGGATCCCAGATACATCTTTTCTAACCCAGATCCAGTGATAGGCTGTACTTCAGGCCATTCTGTCAGAATATCTGTCTTTGACCCTCATCAAATGAACTATATTTATATATAAATAGATTATGGTCATTTTTCTGCTGTTTATCGGCATCTCAAAATTAGAGAAAAATATTTTTTCCACAAATGACTTTCTTTGTTTAATTTTTCATAAATGCTTCTCCATGAACATAATGTGAAAAAGTCAGTACAAGGGACACACAGCCCCCTTCCCCTTTCTCTTTTGAGAAAGATTGCAATAGAATATTTGCAAGCCATCAAATCAGCAAAAGTTAACTAACCATGCAATCTTTTAACAATTCTAATTAAGATGAAATGGATCTCAACCATTTCTGCATAGTCCTTCTATCAGGTTGAGTAGTTCTGTCCTGCCCTTATTCCCAAGTATTTGTGCAAATATGAGACAATATAGGATATCAGAGAGAAATTGCTTTCATACAATGAAATGAGCTGGTATGGTTTCTCCTGGAAGTCGTGCCTTTGACTTGAGCTTTTGTGCAATAAAACAATGGACTCCAGCAGTTACACCTGGGACTTAGAAATAGGAACAGTGCATCTTCTCCACTTCTCCACTTCTTCAACCCACTGAGCCCTTTCCACAATGAGGACTTTCTCCTGCCATTTGGGGATTCCATCTAACTGTATGCACACATGTGGGCTGGTATTCTGGTTTCTGGGGAAACCCCATGTCTTCTTTCGAAAGCCATAGTACCAGAATGTCCTCCTCTGTGAGGAAAACCAAGAAAAAGTCTTGGAGGAAACAGCCAGAGAGCACAGAGAGGCTGTTTCTTAGTCTCATCAAGATGGCAAAAGTTCCATGTAAACAGTGGAAACCTGATAGCTTTTATGTCACCTGGATCAAAATTTCCAGCACTAAGGCTGTGATGCACCAAGACAGAGGTTCTGGGGAGTCTCTGAAGTGGAGCAAGCAAAGGTAAGGGGATAGTGACCTGAAGAGGAGAGGAGACTTGGCTGATGACAAGTCCTGGTGGGACAGAAATGCCTGTAGCAAATGCTCATGCACTATGCACTAGCTCCCCTCTTCTTTCTTTCTTACCTCTTCCTTAGCCTATCATCTGATATAGGTCACAATGTGGTGGATGTGAATCACAGAACTCCTAGCTACTTGTGTGTGAGGGTGGGGGGGAGGTGGTCATTCACTTTCTAGTGAATTCCTTAGAAATGAGTCTTGTTTTTATGTAAGTAGGAGAATGTTGCACACCTGCTACAATCTTCAGGGAGAGCCATCAAGTCATTGCCTCAAGGGAAGCCTTTTGGGGGCAAGGACACTGATTTCATTAGACTACAGCAGTTAAGTGTTTTCTTACCCCAGTAGGACAACATGTCCGAAGATAGTTTCAGTGGGGAAGAGAATTCATGTGATCCTGGCATACATCCATGTTTCCCATGGTGAGATTTTTTTTTTGGGGGGGGATGTGGTAGAGTTGGCCTCTCATCATGTGATTCATGTGGGCCACATCCCTCTGTTAGTTTCCTGTGACTCCAGTGTGGTATGGAATCAAAGGCCCAGATGACACCTCTGCTGGCACAGGACTCTGGCATCTGTTTCTTTCCAGTCATACAAATAGGAGTTTGTTGATGTTTCGGATAACAAGTAGTATCAAGCAACACAACTCCATCTAATATGAAGGATGTGGAAAATTAAAACTTTATACTCAGAACACATTAAATAGGTATGTATGTAATACATAGTATGAGTTATAATGCTCATTTGGAGGTTGGATGTTTGACATATAAAGTAAAATCAACCTGTACATCATCTGACTTAGACTATTTCTAATAACAAGGGAAGGCAAGTAATAAGATTCTGTGAGAAGAATTTGAAGAAAATGTTAACGAAAGCTTTACCCATAGATTGTAACTTGAAGCTTTGTTGAACAAATGGCTTGAGATCAGGATGGAAATTCATATCTGAAGTGTTTTAATATGTTTTCATACACTTTGTAAAAACTTAAGACTTAGTATATCTCAGTCAACCACTGGAAGAGAATGAAATCTAGAAGCTTTTCATGAGCTGACAGTTTTCCTTCAAAGTGGCAAGGTAATCGTAAGGGCCATATAATTCTTTGAAATAAAGGAATAAATATGGAACAAAAAGAACTACCCCCCATAAAAATGGATTTTGTTCTTTAAGCGGATAAATGAACAGATTAGGAAAGGTTACAAAATTTATGATTTCATTTTATCCTAAGCTCTCCAAGCTGCATTTAATGTTAGTGCTTGTACAGTGCAAATGTCAGTACACTTCCAGGTATATTTTTTTCAAGTGCTTTTGTACCTTTTATTAGAAAAAAATGGAAACAAATATAAAAAAATCTACAGCAAGCCACTCTCTCCAGGAGCAATGTTTGACAAAGTAGTATTTTTTTCAAATATAGGATAGGTTAGATTATTTTCCCCCTCTTTTCTTTCTCCTCTCCTTCCTTCTCCTCCTTTCTCCTTCCCTCCCTCCCTCCCTTTCTTCCTGTTTTTTTTTTCTCTAGATCATTGACAGAGTAAGTACTTAATACCTTCCCAAGAATGATTACTTTTTCAGGACAAGGTAGGGCTAAGTGCAGATTGCACCTGTACCCTACCCAAAGCCCAAACACCAAGATCACGAGGTCTTTTACTGGATCTGCCCCCAGTCTTCTAGCTCAGCTCTGATTTGAAGAAACAGTGCCCGGGCCTGCTTCTGAGGGCTTCCCTGTTGGCAGTGACTAAGCAGTATACTTTTTGTATGCTACAATGGAACTTGGCCACTGAATAGAGTCCTGGTCCAGGCTACTGGTCTAGCCTAGACACAAGGTCCACAGGGATTATCAAGAAGGGTACTTTTCACCCCTTTTTAAAAACACATTGATGCTTAGGTTATGTTATGAAATACTGTGTGGTCATTATTAGAGTATCCAGCTGGTTTTTAAATTGTATTTCAGAAATACATGCTACAATTGTAATGAGCATCATTCCTAAGTGGGAAGTGTAGGTAGTATAAATCATCCATACCAGAAGCCTCTGCTATAAAACCTATGAAGGAAGGTGATATAAGACCAGCTTAGTCAAAAGAGGCAAAGAAAAGCAGCAGAGGAGAGGCACTGAGACAGAAGAGGAATAAGAGAGACCAAGAAAGAAAACTATTCATTCTAAGGAAGAGAGCCTAGCAGTTGGCACAGAAAGATTTTGCACATTAGCATCCTAAACGCATAGACAAAAGGGGAAACAGAGGAGACAAAGAAAGTGGAGATAATAAGTCCTAAAGAAAAAAAGGTGTACAAGTAAAAGAAAGATGCACTACATAATTCCTAATTGTCTGCATTAGCTTAGATCAGGGTAGGGCCTCAGCTGGAGGCCCTGGCCCCTTTTTCACATCCCAGAATACCTCATTAATGTGTAGCTTCTCAATCACCAAATTCAGAGCTCTTCCCTCATGTACCCCATAGTGCGCTTTGGCAATCTGATGAAGCCTAGGAAACTTCAGCATTATGTTTTTTTTTAAAAGTAGCATTATGTTCTTGAATGCATGAAACATAAAACAAGATTACAAGCAGATCTTAGTAAAACATTTATTTAGTTATAATGTGTGATGTATGTGCCTCTTATGCAATGCATGCATAAGTTGTACCACGGGGACTCATTAATGGCTATGTCATTTTGGAGTAGAGATGAGCCTAAATGCATAACTATAGCAACAATAATATGATTTGAAAAATTCCTAATTACACTGGTGGCAAGAGCTGCTGATTCCAATATTATAGTTGAGGTTTATGACTGGCATTCATGAGAGAATAAATACTACTTTGCTATGTCATTTTAATGAGGGAAGTTTTTTTTTCCATTCAAGTTCATAGGCAGATGTCTTAGGACCCACTAGGAGAGGCCTTAGAAATGCATGATCACAAGAACTCTAGACCAGGGGGACTCTGTCATTTGTCATTTACCACAAGGACACTCTGGAAAATGAAAGGGCTCTTAGTTATTTTTGCAAGACAGTAGATGCAAGTTGGGATAAGCAAATTGGGATTGGGCAAATTGTCATATATGACCCTATAGGATCTTATTTGCTTTTTCACTTCCCAGGGATCTTTTCTTCCTAGAGCACCTCTGCACCAAGGAATTGACTTTATCTG